GCAAACATAACTGGGACTAGGGTTAGGTTTACTGTAGTTACTGGCACATTTATCTGCATGAAGCAGGGGGTTTCGTTGCTAATGGTAACGTATCGTATTTCCTGTAGTATAGCGACTGCCGTAGGAAACTATAATGGTTAATTAAACATCAAACAATAATTTTAGTGGGTATCTTTCAGGATAAAAAATTCTTATTTGAACAGTTTTTAGTGATATATATTTTGTTTTTATCTTGAAGTAATAATCATTGGGGGGGATTGACTGAATATATAGAGGATCAACAAACCCCACCATTTTTCCTTATACGTCGTAGTTACTTATTATATGATATACTATCTTTACATCGAGCACGTTCCCTAACACCACTTCGTCATGCTTATAACTCAGTTTACTATTATATTAATATAACGTGTTTCCACATTCGAGTAACGTTTCAGACAACCCTTTTTTTTTTTGGCATATAGCTAACGCTAATTGTTGTTAGATTTGATTTTGTGTCGACTTCTTTCTGTCCTTTTACGGTTGATTAAACAAGAATTATTAATCATGACTTAACTGTCGTGAAAGAACCCAAAGAAAATGTCCCTATTTCTTTATCTGCCACTGCACTTTCAACGGTCGAATAGCTTCTTAGAGTGAAAGAACCCAAAGAAAATGTCCCTATTTCTTTATCTGCCACTGCACTTTCAACGGTCGAATAGCTTCTTAGAGTGAAAGAACCCAAAGAAAATGTCCCTATTTCTTTATCTGCCACTACACTTTCAACGGTCGAATAGTTTCTTAGAGTGAAAGAACCCCAAAAAATGTCCCTATTTCTTTATTTGCCACTGCACTTTCAACGGTCGAACAGTTTCTTAAAGTGAAAGAACCCAAAGAAAATGTCCCTATTTCTTTATCTGCCACTGCACTTTCAACGGTCGAACAGTTTTTTAGAGTGAAAGAACCCAAAGAAAATGTGCCTATTTCTTTATCTGCCACTGCACTTTCAACGGTCGAATAGTTTCTTAAAGTGAAAGAACCCCCAAAAATGTCCCTATTTCTTTATCTGCCACTTCATTTTCAACGGTCGAATAGTTTCTTAGAGTGAAAGAACCCAAAGAAAATGTCCCTATTTCTTTATCTGCCACTACACTTTCAACGGTCGAACAGTTTTTTAGAGTGAAAGAACCCAAAGAAAATGTCCCTA